ACGGTCAGGGTTACTCTCTAATGGTATGACGAACTTGGATTCCAAATAGCTGCCGCTGAAATTGTGTGTTCGCTCGAGCAGACTGCTGCCGGGTGGGTTGTGTGGAATCTACTAAGGCCCACCACATACCGTGCAATGCGGCTGAGCCCAAACGGAATGGACCAATGTGAAGAAAAGAAAAATGACAGTTGGTGACTTACACCCACGCACAGAGCGATTGAGCCCAGCTCATCTACTGACGTGCTGCAACGGGAAACTACACCCTTTATTGACTTGTAAGGCTCTTCCCGCTGTTTACTGTACTGTCTTACTTTTATTGAACCACAAAAACATGGCATGATTGTCAAGGAAGAAGCGAGTTTCCACTGAGAGAAAAAGAGGGTGAACATGAAGGCGTACTTCGTCTTTCGAAAGGTTTCCATACTCATATTTTACATCGCAACTACCGTACTGGCCCGAATATAAGGCGGTGTTTTTTGCATTGAAACAAGACTGAAAAAGTGGGGGTCGTCTCATATTCGTGGTCTGGACATTATACCCATTCACGACGCTAGATGGCACCAGATATCATTGAAGCGAATGCTGAACTTGACTCCCCAGGCCAAAGTGAACCCCTGTCACGAAGAATAAAAATAAAAATAGCGGTAGCACGAAGAAGAAAAATAAAAAATAATTGCACATTAGTTTACATATTTAAAGGTTCAGATATTAAGATTTGAATGAGGCAAAATAACATGCTTTTCCTCTCAAATATATTGTTATAATCATTTGTTTCAGATGTACTGTAATTATTTTCTGTATCAAAATTAATTTGGTGTTCAAAAAGTCTTTTTTCAAACTTGAGTCTTGAAAAAGAGGGGGTCGTCTTATAATCAGGGCCGTCTTATATTCGGGCCAATACGGTATATTTTAATCGAACTGACATACTTTAGCGTGGCATGAGCTGGCATCCATTTCACAGTCTGCATTTATTGAGCTCGCCTTGCAAGTGACAAGCAATCAGAGCATCCGAGATGGTAGTACACTTGTCTCTTTAGCGAGTCATGCTCTCTTGGCAAGACTAATTGATTTAAATTTAATCCAAGTCTAAAATATAAACATGTAAAAGTTGAACGATGCGTGAGTTGATTGGTCATGCCTGGCACAAGGATGATCTCGTAACAAAGCGACTGTTATTTTGTGTAGACTAACATTTCCAATGAATCAAATTATTGGGAACAGATTCACATAAAGAACGGGTTTTTAATTCCAATCACTCGGGAGGGTTAAAGTTAGAGTCAATCTCGAAATCTCTCAAAGTCAGGGACGAGCCTAGCGTTAGGATTGCGGTTCCTCTTAAAGTCAGGGTAAGTTCAGGATCTGGTTAGGGTTCCTCTGTAATTCTGTAAGTCTATGAACCCCAATTTTAAGGTTAGCATTAGCTTTACGCTTCGTTTCTTGTTTCTTTTCGCTGCTGTGAATTCAGGCTTTCTAATAATGAAAGGCATTGACATGCGGCCAAGTGTGAACAAGTCATAAGTTTCTTCTTTCTGCGATAGAGAATGGGAAAATGAGATGAACGTGAGAAAAGCAATTTTTTTTTTTTTACAGCAGCAAACCTTGACAAGCTACAGCCTGAAGGACGCTGTGCGTTTGCCTTCCGGGCCGCGGCCTCGACCTGGACAGGGCCAGCGAGTCTGCCTGACAAGGCAAGGTCAGTGACCTGGACAGCCTTTCGAGTCGTCAAACCTTGAGGCAGGAGCAGAGCCGAGGCTTGGGAGCGCCGCCTTTCGTCTGAGTTCAGGAAAAAAAGTGGACACGGAAAGAAGCCTAAACTCCCTCTGGACCTCATTGTGTGTGGATGCTGAGAGATGATGTCATCTTCTTGAAATTGTACAGACAAAAAGTTTTTTGAAGGGTTGGACTCAGGGATTGTTCATATTTTTAAAAATAATGTTCCCAACCGCCCATAAAGAATGACATGAGCAAAAGAAACGCAAGAGTAGGGTTAGCTAAAGTTGATTTTAGAGTTAGCATGAGTGTTAGCTAGAGTTAAGGTTCATAAAGTCAGTTGCTTAGGATTGTTGTTGAGGTTCAAGTTAGATTAGTTAGAAACATAGTCCCCAAAGACGGCACTATTGCTGGCTGAGACAATTTAAAAGAAGTCCTGTCAAAAAGATCCAAACATTTAAAAATATGTCCATTAAATTAAATACATATAAGGAAGGAGGAGCCATATATTAAAATGTTAATGCTCTCATGCCATTTTGTTTGTTTTTTTTTTTTTTTATAATCTTTGATGTAATTTTCTGGGATTTGTAAAATAATTTGGTTTGGAAAGGAGCACGATGCCTTTTAGAAGCTTTTCTCATTTGTCAAAAAGCCTCAGATTTGAAATGGTCCATTTTCTGGTTGATCTTTAAAAATATTCAATATGCAAATAAGCTTGACTCTAATTGTGTCTCTGTTCTCCCTAATTTGATATGGAAAACCGCTTTGCTCTGACTGGTTAATTCCCGATACGTGGGTGTCTTCATATCTTTTCATTGTGCTGGCTCCACTGAAATTCAGCGATCCGTCAGCGGAATCGGGTTCAGCCGCCGTGCAGTCTGAGAAGACCACTGCAGGGCGATGGCCTTGGGTTCTAACTTGGAAAGAGCCAGATTGATACGCGAATCACTCAAAGACGTTCTTCTCCACTGTATCAATCTGGGGCTGCTACAATGTGATCTGTTGGGGAAAGCCATGACATGCAATACTTTGTGCTGATTGGACGATGCGGCAACTTGTGCACGACTACCAAACTATTGTTTTGACCAATCCTACCAAGTGATGAAATGATCGTCACCAGCATGCGCTTTGTTATGACCAACTGGGTCCTGTTATCTCGATGATTGGCACAGACGGCATCATGGCGTTGAGTGATTGTTGTCATTTTTACAATGTAAATATGTGGATAAAAGGTGTCTTAAATAGCATGACGTTACTTTTTTAAAATGTATTTATTGATCAAGCCGTTTGTCAACGGAGAAAAGTTTTCATCACAGCCACATGTTCCGCCGCCAAACATACTCTTGCTTTGTGATTAGCATTAGAGCAAATTAGTGGCCTTGGGAAAAGTTGGATTCGCGGGGGTTTGTGAAATCACAAATTCTGTTAGTATTTTTGCAGGAAAGGTTGTTTGGAGGAAAATTAATCGTCGTTTATAAAAAACAAACAAACAAACAAAACCCTTAAAAACGAGCATATGCTTGTTGTAACTCTTTCAAAAATAAACTTGAAATTCTATCTTCATCCAACTCAAAATCGTATTGAAATGTTTTTGCGTGTTTCCTAGTTGTCTCTTTGTTAACAAATTCTTATTTTGCGATCGAAAGCCCTTTATCAGTTTTTTTTTTTTTTTTTTTTTTATGTTTTGAAGTGTCACAAAAGCAAACAGTATCAGTTTGCTTGTTCCACAAAAACTTGTTTCTCCGCTTTTTAGTCAGCAACATGTGTTTTCGGTGAAATGGACCCACGTTTGACTATTGATCACCCAAGAATGGAAATAAGTGGAAGCATGTTTTTCCTTCCTGATGTTTTTATTTGTTTGTTTGTTTTTTGGGAGGCAGGGTATATTTGGTGCATATATTGTCACAGAGCACAATATTGCGTGGATTATGAAAGATTGGTCAAAACTGTTTGACAGTAGAGTATAGATGGTAAATATTTAATCCGGGCAAACACTACCTCAAACACCTTGGCATATCATGAAAGAAAAATAATCATTTTACATGTGTTTGAGAACCAAAGAGTCTAAAAATGGTGAGGAGGTCTGCCTACGACAGAAGGTTTTTTTTTTTTTTTTTTTTTTTCTTTCTGCGGTCTCGTTATGTTACGGTCGGCGGGTCGGTGGATCGCCACATCGCTCGCTATCTTGGATCACAGCGGCGTGACCTCTCGCTCTCATCCGGCTCTCATCGTCGTCACACCTGCCTGGGCCCCGAGCTCAGCCAGCGTGGCTGTACTCGGTGGGATCACGGTGCCCCCTGGAGGCCACTTTTTCTTCGTCTTCTTCCTCCTCTTCGGAATCAGCGGGGCACCTCATACATATTTCATCAGGTTTAACTCCACTTAAAATATGCATTCTAATTGGGCCTAAGTGGCGCAGCTCAGCTCCCTAAGTAGCTCCTCCGCTCGTGCGCTCACGTCCTCCTCCTAACGGACACGTTCGACTCAGCCCACGTTCTCCTGCCGGCTGCCTCGTCTCCTCATCTTCCTCCTTTTTCACATCCTCTTCTTCACAGGCTTGACCGTGTTAATCGTGTCGTATTGATTTGTTTGGAACACAGTGCACACGAGGAGGAAGGGAGGCACGCGTGGTGGGATGCAAATGTGCCTTATGTTAGCTCGTCGATTGATAGATTAGGATTTGGATTCAAGAATTAATGAGCTTTCGATGCAACAAAAATTAAGATGAATTTGAGAAGACTTTTAAGATGACTTTTTATCTCCAGTAGGCTTGATTATTGCAATAGTTGTCTTACTGGACTGCCGCAAAAGAGCATGAAACAGCTGCAGCGCATTCAAGCTGCAGCAGCTCGGGATATGAGATCAGATCATATTGCTCCAGTTCAAAATGCTTTGCACTGGCTCACACTTAGCTGTAGAATAGATTTCAAAATTCCGCTCCTGGTTTAGAAATCATTGAATGGTTTGGGTCATGAATACATTCAAGAAATGGTCATTGAATATAAACCCAGTTAGGGCTCTGACATCTGCAGGCTTGGATCAATTAATGGAGCCCAGAGTTAAAGTAAACATGGTAAATCTGCATTTAGCTGTTATGCTGCACACAAATGGAATAAGCTGCCATCAGAACTGAAGTCAGGCCCACATGTAACTGCTTTTAAACCCAGATTTAAAACGTAGCCTCCACACCCCCCCCCACCCCCCATACTATTGATTAAGATCTTTTAAACATTTTAAATCTTCCATTTGCTTTAGTTGTGTTGCACGGCGGTGAGGGTTGCTACTCACTTCCTGTTTTAATTTGAAAGAATGACTCTCCTCTCATTTCAGGTCACTTCCCCTTCCTCCTGTGTCAGTCTGATTGTCAGCCCTGATTGTTTCCACCTGTTGCCCCTTACCTTGTGTTTAAATGGTCCTTGACTCCCTTTGTCCTGGGCCAGTGTGTACTGTCAGAACCAGGCTTGGACACAGGACACAGGACACAGGACACAGGACACAGGACAAAGTTGCAGGGTACAAAGTGAAGATATATTTATTTGAGGATCAGGAACTGACTATTTAAAATGGCAAGGCTGTGGAAACAAGGCAAGAACTGCTCAGCTCTGTGGCGAGAGGCTGGAGTCCACACACAAGGACGAAACACACTGGCACAGGACAAAGGGAGACAAGGACCATTCAAACACAAGGTAAGGGGCAACAGGGCGGGGCTGACAATCCGTCTGGCACAGGGGGAAGGGTACGTGATCTGAGACGAGAGGAGAGTCATTCTTTCAAAATTGAACCAGGAAGTGACCGGTGTGACGTTGTTTTACAAACGTACACTCATTTCTTAACCTTTTTAAAAGGTTTCTGTTATTGTGTTTAAATGTTGTCAATGTATGTTCTTTTTGGTTAATACTTTTAGGTATTGTGTCTTTGCTTGTGTGAAGCACATTGAGTTGCTTTGTGTATGAAATCCAGCCAACCATTTTTGACAGTGCTTACCCTGGACAGGGTGGCGGGGCTGCTGGAGCCTATCCCAGCTGACTTCGGGCGGTAGGTGGACTACACTCTGAAAAGGTCGCGAGTCAGTCACAGGGTACACAGAGTCGAACAATCATTCACACGGTCACTGAGTAGGAACTGATCCCACTCTGCCTGCATGCAAGTCAGGTGAGTGTACTATGACACCATCAGTGGCTTTATGTGTGAAATGGGCTGCATTGCCTTACCTTGATGTTGCAAATGACACTTTTGCTTTTGGCACAAAGACAATACGTGACACATTTCATCCTGTTATTCTTATGTCTGGAGTGCATATTTCCATTTGGCATTTTTTACAAATTGTTTAGCAGTTAATGTTTGCATATCTCCAACCTAATGTGCAAATAACTGAAAGACTCACCTCGCTCCTTTCCTCACAAACACACACAGGAGACAGCTGCAGCACAAACGGAATGGAACAGAATAGCTACTTGTGCACTTTTTAAAGTTTCTAAACTTGACTAATATGAATTGTCTTCACTCTGCGTCGGCCTCACAGTGCAGTGCAGAGGTGCAGGGTTAGATTCTGGCTCCGGCCTTCCTGTATGGAGTTTGCATGTTCTCCCCGTGTCAGGGTGGGTTTTCTCTGGGTACTCCGGTTTCTTCCCACATCCCCAAAACATGCTTGGTAGCTAAATTGACCACTCTCTAAAACTGTCCCCAGATGTGAATGTTCGTCTGTCTGCCCTACGATTGGCTAGCAACCAGTTCAGGGTGTCCCCTGCCTCCTGCCCAAAGACCGCTGGGATAGGTTCCAGCACGCCCGCAACCCTCGTGAGGATAAGCAGATTATGAAATGGATGGATGGAAATTGTCTTGAAAGGGGGATAGGCGGATTTCTGACGGGGCGAGAGCACCCCCTAGCCTTGTTGTTGTGTGTGCATGCATGCATGTATTTATGTACATAATTTATGTCCGTGGTAACGCAGTTACTGTGTGTGTGTTGATGCGTGTGTGCGTGCCTGCGTGCTTTTGTACCATTAAAGTGCATGTGTGTCAGCACTTTTATTTTTGCCTTTATTATGTTGTATATTTTTATAACTCTTGAAGTGGCGTTAAGTTCCTGTGTGTCCAGATAGTATGTTTCTATGTATTTCTACATTGCAAATATAATGTTCCGATGCTATACATCACTCTTTGTCTCACGTACACTCACAACACACATGGTTAGTTAGCGTTGCGAACGTCACGAGTGTACATAGGTGGTGGAGTGTGTCGGGGGCTCAGCGACATGATGGAGCACACGGTGAGGCGGGAGGCAGTGCTTTGTTTCCATGGTGATGGCAGAGCAACTAATAACATGCTGGTGGCAGATAAGGTGGCACACACATATGCTGCAATAGAAGTGTTTGTGGATGATAAATGTCAATCACTCAACAAACAAACTTTTTTTTGTTGTTGTAATTTTAAAGCTATGGCGTGTAAATGTTGTGCTGCTCTTGGCTTAAATTCTGCATTGCAACAACAGAACAGAGTCGTTGCTTCAACATGGTAGCCCTTCTGTGTAATTCTACATTTTTGTTATGTTCTGGAAAAAAAAAAGATTCTTCAGAAGAGTTAATTGTTGCGAAATCCTTATCATTGTGGTGTTTTGAGGCTGCAATGTTCTACACTGAATTTTGAGAATTTTACATCAGGCACCTTGTTGGGCAACTATAGGTCCTCAAGAAGATGGACCTGAAGTTGCTTTGCAGCAGATATTAGCCATTTCTTAAAATCAAGAATGCGGAGTACAATCAAGTATAGTCTCCTTAAGAACATATGCTTGAACGTACTTCCTAAGAATGTCTCTTTGAAATCTGAACAGCTGTGGATTTATGACCCCGCCCCCACCCCTGACTCCGACGTACAGTAGATCTGTGATTGCCGCACTAAATGCATCTTGGGATATTTTACCAGCTGAGTTTTCCCCGAGTTTCCAACCGATGCATCCTTGGTTTAAGGTAGCAGACAAGAACAACACCGGGTTTTCTTGGTTCATGCATCCGAACGGTACTTCGGCCGCAACTGATGACCTTTTACGTCAGGCACATTGTTGGTCAGCTATATGTGATGGGGAAGATGTTTTTTGTTGTTGTTTGTCATGCTTTATTGGTCCTGGTGAGACAAACAAAATTGATCAATTTTCACCAGGATAAAATTGTTGACGAAAATTGGGTTTGAGTTGGGGTTAGGCATGGTGAGACCCGCAAAAATTCATTTTCTAACTCAGAGTTTAAAAAAATCCGATGGCATCATTTGTTGATTTGAAAGAAGAGAATTATTATTTCTGTGTATGTTTCTAATGTTCTCATTCGACGACACTCGCATGAGATCCGCACAGACACACACACACACACACACACACTACAGCTCTACACACGCATTCCATCCGCACACACATTAGTAGCGCAATGATCTAATTAATCAGACTTTTTGCTTTAGGTTAGAATACTGATTCCTCGTATTTTCTCTTTCCGAGCTGGAAATCCATCCGTCTGTCGGAGGCGTTTTGGCCGGGAGGCTTGGCGCCGCTTCCCGTCGTGCTGAGCGCCATTAAAACTCCAAAAATATATTGATATATAAAAGCATAAGAGCTGGAAGACATCAGCGACATGATGGAGCACACGGTGAGGCGGGAGGCAGTGCTTTGTTTCCATGGTGATGGCAGAGCAACTAATAACATGCTGGTGGCAGATAAGGTGGCACACACATATGCTGCAATAGAAGTGTTTGTGGATGATAAATGTCAATCACTCAACAAACAAACTTTTTTTTGTTGTTGTAATTTTAAAGCTATGGCGTGTAAATGTTGTGCTGCTCTTGGCTTAAATTCTGCATTGCAACAACAGAACAGAGTCGTTGCTTCAACATGGTAGCCCTTCTGTGTAATTCTACATTTTTGTTATGTTCTGGAAAAAAAAAAGATTCTTCAGAAGAGTTAATTGTTGCGAAATCCTTATCATTGTGGTGTTTTGAGGCTGCAATGTTCTACACTGAATTTTGAGAATTTTACATCAGGCACCTTGTTGGGCAACTATAGGTCCTCAAGAAGATGGACCTGAAGTTGCTTTGCAGCAGATATTAGCCATTTCTTAAAATCAAGAATGCGGAGTACAATCAAGTATAGTCTCCTTAAGAACATATGCTTGAACGTACTTCCTAAGAATGTCTCTTTGAAATCTGAACAGCTGTGGATTTATGACCCCGCCCCCACCCCTGACTCCGACGTACAGTAGATCTGTGATTGCCGCACTAAATGCATCTTGGGATATTTTACCAGCTGAGTTTTCCCCGAGTTTCCAACCGATGCATCCTTGGTTTAAGGTAGCAGACAAGAACAACACCGGGTTTTCTTGGTTCATGCATCCGAACGGTACTTCGGCCGCAACTGATGACCTTTTACGTCAGGCACATTGTTGGTCAGCTATATGTGATGGGGAAGATGTTTTTTGTTGTTGTTTGTCATGCTTTATTGGTCCTGGTGAGACAAACAAAATTGATCAATTTTCACCAGGATAAAATTGTTGACGAAAATTGGGTTTGAGTTGGGGTTAGGCATGGTGAGACCCGCAAAAATTCATTTTCTAACTCAGAGTTTAAAAAAATCCGATGGCATCATTTGTTGATTTGAAAGAAGAGAATTATTATTTCTGTGTATGTTTCTAATGTTCTCATTCGACGACACTCGCATGAGATCCGCACAGACACACACACACACACACACACACTACAGCTCTACACACGCATTCCATCCGCACACACATTAGTAGCGCAATGATCTAATTAATCAGACTTTTTGCTTTAGGTTAGAATACTGATTCCTCGTATTTTCTCTTTCCGAGCTGGAAATCCATCCGTCTGTCGGAGGCGTTTTGGCCGGGAGGCTTGGCGCCGCTTCCCGTCGTGCTGAGCGCCATTAAAACTCCAAAAATATATTGATATATAAAAGCATAAGAGCTGGAAGACAGAGCGGTGGCCACTCAGTTGGATGCCGCAAATGAAGCTGAGGCCTGGCTAATGTCTTCCATACGGGCCTCTGTGTGCCACGACCGCCTAAGCCGCCGCCGCCATTTGTCCGACTTCAACTGTTGGCTTGACTGAAATCATTTCAATAGTGTTTATTATGATTATAAATAAATGCAAAAATACGCACAGTAGGCACACATTGCACCTTTTCTCAATGTCAGATAAAGTGTATATGATGGAGGCTTTTATTTGCATGTTTTTACTCTGTGTGGGTACGTGGGTGTGACTGCATTCTGTTTGTCTTCATGCACGTCTCTTTATCTGCCTCTGCTTTTAATTACACTTTTCTCATTTGCAAGTGCTGTGCACTGCACTGTGATGGTGGTGGTGATGATGATGATGAAGAACATTCAACAGTTGTAAAATAAACCCTTCAAGATTGTTCTGGATTTCTTTCCCTCCCATCTTCTAAAATTCATCCTGCTTAAATTCAAACTACTGCTTCGCTCTCCCCTCCCATTAGTGGTGTTTCGGCATCTTTAAGGCGCCAAGGCGATATTTTGTGTGTGTGTGTGTGTGTGTGTGTGTGTGTGTGTGTGTGTGTGTGTGTGTCCTTGGTAAGGGTGGCAGCATACACACTCACACACGCACATATAAAACAGGCTTTTATTTCCTTGTTCGTGGCATCAAAACAGCAAAAGAAGGCCACCAAGCG